TAGCAATGGCCCTGTGTTGATGTGGCCTGACAGCTCAGGTATCCATATATATATATATATAAGATATACACTGGTGGTTTAGTGGTGTACATATAATCTTCCTCAGGGTGATTTTCATCTACAATAAAGATTTAACCTTTAAATTTTTTTAGGTTTTGTTCTATTTTCTGGCTTGTCATGGTAGCATAAGTTAAGGAAAAAAAACTTTATCCGTGCTGTGTGTTAACTGTGTTTTTAAAATAATAGTTTAAAACAACCAGTTTTTGAGTCTCTCTTTGCAAGCCTGTGATGTTGGCAGTGGTTCTGATAGTAATAAGTTTTGATAGGTAAAACAAATAACATCTGGTCACATTTACCTTAATAGTTCCCTTAATGTAGTCTTGTCATGAGCTAAAGTTGTTTGTTGATAAATGAAGCCATCAGAACGGAGATAGAAAGTTCTTTTGTGAACTGCTTTATATTTCTGTTATTTCTTCAGGGTCTTATGATGAACAACTGTAGTGCATATTATACATTAGATTTATTTTCTGTTTTGTTGTCACGGATGGCTTGCCATTAAGAATTTCATTCAGTGCATGCTTTCTATGGAGTATTTTAAAACTCTAAAATCTTAAGTCTGGTAACATTACATGTCTTCTCAGCACAACATAGAACACCATGCTCTGTGACGTTATATGCAATGTATGATAAACTGAGATATAATTCTATGTATGGGTACTTATAAAACTCTGACTGTAGTTCTTCTGGAAGTCTAAAAAGATATAGTGCAACAGAAATGAAATATAGTATACTTGTTCTATGTGTGTGTAAGAACAGTCACACAAGGTTGGACTAAAGGATCTTCAGGACTGTTATTTAGTCTCTGATGATTACATCAACCTAGAGAAAGGACATGGAGTGACCTTCCTCTGGAATATTCTTCCTGGCTTTTACAGTCTGATTAAGAAAATTCAAGACTGAGGTTGCAGTCTAAACCAGGGTATTTAATATCATCATATCTCTAAAATAGATTGACCTTACATTTTTTAGAGTGTTTTGTGTCAGTTATTTCTATGGTATGTTGAGGCCACTTTCATTTCAGATCTCAAAATGCTTTACATGTTTCACAGTGATGGCAAGAAATCATACTATGACTTGTAGTTCTTGATCATTCAGACTAAGGAATGGAACAAAGACAATATCTGGTTATTTTTGTGTGTCACTTTCTTTTTGTCCATACAGAAGTGGTAAGCCTATTTCACCTTATTGTAACTGAGAACTTAATGAAATTTGTACCACATGCTTCCGGCTGTTTGCAGAGATGATAGAAATAATCTGTAGTTTTCTCACAGAACTGTTATAGGCTGCATTCTTCTTTATTTTTTGGGGTCATCCCTTGTACCTAAAAGCCCAAATAGTTACTGGAATATTATCAAGTTTTGCATGGTCTGATAGCTTTGCATGTCTTTATCAAACATATCTGTTTGCCAACATGTGTCTCTACGTAAATACAAAGCTTGCACCTGAAAAAACAGCGCTGGCTGATGTGGAATTCAAATCAGGCTGAATGAATGTTGCTAGGAAGAGGGAAGTGCTGTTATACTCCTAAGCAGATACATATTTAAATATCCAAAAGAGTAACTCCAGAAGTAAACCCTCAAGGAAATAAATTTAGTAATGTGTATAATTACTGAGGTTTTTGGGTTTTTTTACACATGCAGACCCAGAGATTACTCAGTAGACATACTGATCAAGAAAGCTTTGCAGCTAGAAATAAATTCTGCTGCAGCCATTACTTCTTCAGAACAGTGGGCTTAGAAAATCTAGTGATTTAACTATCAGTTATAGGAAATACCTTGTGGCTTTACTTATGTGGTTTTGGATGGGCTATAAATTACCTGTGGCATCTTTGTCTTTAGTGTAGAGATCCCAATAGACAAATTGTGTACTCTCACACACAAAGTGAAAAAACAAACAGCAAGACCACACAACATTTTAAGGCTATTATTTTTTCAAATACTTTGGTAAGTCTGACGGGTCATAATTCCAACAGCACAAGACTGAGGCTGGAAGGAAAGTTAGACTTAGCAACTTCATAAAACTCTTTAGAAATAACATGTTCCATTGATTTACTAAAATGAGTCAGGTTTAGAATTCTATATCCTAGTGATATCTGAGACTAGTGTGTATTTCAGTCAGCAAGTCAACTATGTCCTCTTTCTACTAGTTTGCATGTCCTGCTCTAAGCTGTGAGATTTATTATAGGTTAGACCTTAATGGCCAGATTCTGCTTCCCTTGCTCTTGCTAGTTATTGTGTTATTGTAGGAGTGGCTTATTAATTCTGTTATGAATAATGGCAGAGGAATGGTGATCGTAATTCTGACATGATGAGGACTGAGTATTGCTTGTCTTAAGTCTCTGGCCAGTCTGATATAAAGGAAAATGGCACATGTTTCTTCGGTATTTGTTTGTAGGAAGACTGTGTTAGAGGTCTGGCATCTTAGATGAGTTCTGCATAGACTGATCACTGAATAGTGTTGAAGGGGAGGAAAAAATAGTGCCTGTTAAATGAATTTATCATAAAGCTCTGCAATAATCACCATAGTAAGCGATATTTTGTTTCCCGGGATGGCATAGCCAGTACATAACTACCTATCAAAACATTAACGGTGATACTCAAAAGCATACTTCATGTGTTCTCCTCCCCTCCCCTCCCCTCCCCTCCCCATCATTACTCCCTTTGGATGATTCATTTTAACACAGATGCTGTCATTTCACTTTGCTGGTGCATCAGATGCTCAACTTGATCGCAAGTTTTTGGAACATGAATTTTTTTCTAATACCAGGAAACTATCACAATTGTTTTCTCCTTTGTCATATAATTTCTCTGAAAAGGTCAGCCTGGCCTTGTCTTCTTGGTCAAGGTTTAAAATCAAAACGTTGTTTGATGGAATAACTATGACCTGAACAATCACCTTAGTGGGATCAGAAAATGTGGCCTTATGTAAATATGAATAATAAGGACATTAGCTTTGAAAATTCACTTTTCAAAAACATCTTTCAAGTTACAGCTATTTTTTGCATTTGTTTTTAAGGGTCTTGGAAAATATTCTTAAGTAAATATGGAATCCCTGTGAATTTACTGGTGAAAAAATGACGGAGCCAGGAGTGTAAATCAGCGCAGTTCTTTTGGCTGCAAGCCATCTTAGTTTACAAAGGAGCACATTTCTTCTTTAAAATGATCATATATTTTAAAAAAATCATATATTTTTTTTAAAATATATGATTTTAAAAAATGCTAGAACACTAGGTAACACATCTTTTGAACTTGTGAACTTGTGTCTTGAACTTGTGTACTTATTTAGGTACGATACCTTTTAAAATTACCACAGATGAAGTGGTGAGAAGATGGAAAGTGTCCCTTGATCTTTTCTCTTCTTATCCATAAACAAATCTTTTTCCTTAAGGATATTTTTACAAGTAAATATGCTACTTCATATGCTCTAGTATTTCCTGTTGGACATTTGCTGTGTTGATACAGCAAGCAGTGTCCTTTTTAGTGTAGAGAATAAGAGAATTGTGTGCCTTAAATTGAAAGAAAGACTCGTTGACTTTATTGGGCACCCTAAGGCCTTTGCTAACAAACAGATTTTTCTAAGGAGGAATTAATCTCATTTTGTAAAAGACAAATCACATTATACAAATATCTTTGATCTAGGTCAATTTAGAAATGTGACTTACTGCAGCATACATTCTAGAAATGTTTTTTAAGTAATTTGTCTTAGAAAATAAGCCATACAGCCAGATAATACTGCTGATAAATGAACAAATGAAAGCTACTGATATTAGTTGATACTAGCCTGTGTAGACTTGAGGATTACAAGAAATAAAAGAAGAAAGGCTACTCAAAGATAACTGGTGATCTAACAAGAGGTAGAACAAATTCAGAGATGCAAATGTGTTTTTCACTGTCCTGCAGCCTGTTTGGCTGCATGAATCCTGCTCAAAATCTTAGTCAAGAAGGAGTATTTACAGCTATTTTTTGGTGATTGGCAGGAAGGGTCAAAGCAAAATGTCTTTTATTTTTTGTTGCTTTTAAGTTTTCCTCATAGAATCATAGAATCGTATCAGCTGGAAGAGATCTAGAAGATCATCGAGTCCAGCCTTTGTCCCAGCCCTATCAACGTACTAAACGATTCTGCCCAACACAACATCCACCCGTCTCTTAAACACCTCCAGGGACAGTGACTCAGTGACCTCCCTGGGCAGCCTGTTCAGTATAGAAATTCTTCCTAATATCCAACCTGAACCTCCTCTGGCACAATATAAATCCATTTCCCCTCATCCTATCACTCTCCACGAGGGAGAACAGACCAACCCTCGCCTCTCTACAACCTCCCTTCAGGTAGCTGTAGCGAGCGATGATATCTCCTCTCAGTATCCTCTTCTCTGTCCTGGTGCGGGTGGCTCTGCTGAGCTGGGCAGGGGCAGCTAAGCCATGGCCATGCTCCTCTTCTTGTGAGACTAGAGAAAATCGCAGCCTCCTCACACTGCTCCCAAAAATGGGAGCTCTGAGAGTGCCAGACCGCTGCCATGCCGCAGCACGGGCCGAGGATCTGGCCCTGGGACTGGGGCAGATATTTTCAGTGCCCATTTCCTCACGTTCAGTTAACTAAACTTAAAGTTAAGTCAAACTTAAGTTTGACTGTTCCTCACATCCAGGAAGGGTCATATTAGATGTTGGATGTTATCTCTCCCTACACAAAGTCAACCACAGCAGCTTGCAGATGAGCACCATGCCAAGGCAGCAGGCAACTCCCTGCCCTGAAATCAGATGGATTTACCCTTGCACCCCTTTCTGGACTAGCTAAAAACAACACATTTAATTCTCTGGTTCTCTAACACGCTTTAGAGCTGTGGCCCAAAAGCAAAGCCATCCCACGTGGGAGCCACTCACGAAGGGGACTGAGGTGTGAACCACCTGCATTAATATTCCAACCTCCTCTTTTGCATTTTTAAGGTGTGACTGGCACTAATGCCATCAGAATACTTCCTGAACAACATCAAAACACACGATTATGTGTGGGACAATGAGGAAGGCAGAGAACTCATCACAGAGGCACCGCTGGAGATGGCTCACATCAGAGATCTCCAACCCACTCAGCCGGCTGTGCCTGCCCTTCGCCATCCTGTTTGCTGTCAGAGGCTGGAGCAGAAGGAGCTCAACCAACGCCATCAAGACATACGACATCCATGTGGACCGGTGGGTGAATGTAGCACACGAGCAGGAAGGTCCCGTTGCCTACTGTGGCACTGTTTATTTGGAGGGCGTTGTGTATGTTGTCCGAGGCTTTGACGGCAGGAAGTACTTGAGCAGGGTCAAGAGGTTCGACCTGCTACAGAAGACGTGGCAGGAGGTGGCAGTTCTGCTACATCAGCACAGCCATCCTCCACGGCCACATCTATGCCATGTGGGGGGCACAACGGCCACACGTGCCCAGTGGTATGAGCCCGAGATGAACCGGTGGACACTGACTGCCCCCATGCACAAGCAGAGGAGCAATGCCAGCGCAACCATGCTGCACAAGAAGGTAAACGGCCCCAGAGGTTAAGGTTGAAGCCTGGTGGGCACGACAAGGAACTAACCGACCACTAGTGTGTGGCATGACCCAGTGGGCAAGTGCCCGTCCTCTCACGCAGCATCGAGGTTGGGGCTTCTGCAGAGCTTGGCCTCCTCCCGTGCCACCGACCTGATAAACGCCACTGCCACCCCGAGGTCACCATCGAGGCAGAGAAGGGGAGCTGGGCAGGCAGGAAAGCCACAGATGCTCCCTTTAACGTGATGAATCATTTGAAACAGAGAGGAAGAAAGTTCACATAAATGTTGCTCATTAAATCCTGGAGCTACAGATATGAAGCTCACGCAGAGGCAGCAGCTGCCCGGCACGGCGGAGGCGCAGGCAGGAGTGTCACAGCAACTCCAGAGCTGCTCAGCACCAGCCCGAGTACCTTGCTGCTCTTTTAGTACTCCAAACCCAGGATGACAGGACCATTCCCCTTAAAGCGAAACAAAACACCCTCCCCGAGCCCAGCTGCACATCCCTTGTCTCCTCAAAGTTTTCTGCCACCTGACTGGCCCACTCCCACTTTTTCTCTCCCCCAAACAGGTGTACATATGTGGCGGGTTCAATGGAACTGAGTACTTGCTCACAGCCAAGGTGTACAACCCTGTGACGAAGCAGTGGATCTTCATCTCCCCGATGGGCAGCCGGCGGAGCGGCGTGGGCATGATCATGTGCAGCAGCGAAGTCTATGCAGTAAGGGGAGGGGGGCAACACCTTCGCTGGGACACCCCCTTGTCACTTGCTTTCACTGATGGGCAGCTCCCAGATTTTCAGGCTGACTATGTGCTTCTTAAGTCAGATCTAGGGTAGAAACACCCAAAGCGACAGACACACCTCCCGAGACCATCATCACCCCTGCACTTTGTGTTGTGAGAAATGCATGGACGAGTTTTAAGCAGCTCCAGCGCAGACCTTACTTTTCGCTGCTGCTCACAGCAGCACAGAACATTCCCATGTGCCCCACCCACACGCTGCATTTAAACCCTGCAGCGTGCGAAATCCCACAGCTGCACAAAACCCCTGGGGAAGCCCCAGAAAGGACAGGGGAGCAGCCAGAGGTCCATGACCAGCGGTGTCAGACACCCTCTGCTCTCCGTTACCATCTTCCTTGTGCACAAAGCGACCTGGCTGCCTGGGAACAGCCCGTTTCAGCTCTGCCCCTTTGGTGTTCACAGGTGGGAGGGTGCAATGGGTTCAGTCAGCTGCACAGCGTGGAGGCGTACAGCCTGCAGGATGACACCTGGCGCCCGCTCCCCACCATGTTCACACCTTGCAGCAATTTCAGCATCGCCATGGTGGAGAAACTTCTGTTTGTGATTGGGGGTTCCAACAGTTCCATGATGATTTTTGATGTGGAGTGCTGACTGGGAGCACTCTCCTGTTATGTTCTTTTGGACCAAAAAAAGCCCTCAGCCCTATGTTTTAAAGAAGCCCTCTAAGGTTTATGCTGATAACAATCATGTTAAGAGAAACCCATAGCAGGGGCGAAATTCATCTCGATCTGCTGATGTTTAAGTATGGTTGATGGGAGTAATGTATTTATGTGAATGTTACACATAATTGGAGATTACTGGAGAAACGTGAGTATAAATCTGACTGTTAAAAAGATTCGCTTTGATAGAATCAGAATCATTTAGATTGGGAAAAAAACTTTAAGACCATTGAGTCCAATGGTTAGCTCATCACTGCCAAGTCCACCACTAAACCATGCCCCTAAGCACCACATCTACACATCTTTTAAATACCTCCCAGGATGGTGACTCCACCACTTCCCTAGGCTCCTCACTAATAAATTGTAGGCTGCTCTAAAGGAAACCCTTCAGTATTTGCCCCACACTCTTCTCTCCTGGAGTAGAGAGGAGCCTACAGGATTTCAACATGATGCAGGATTGTGCCGTAATTCCTACCTCCCTCTAACAAGGCTTCACTCTAGAAAGGGCATGGAAGATAAAAATTAGCAGTTGCTCTGTATGCTTTGTCTCTTACCTGGCTAAAAAGAGAAAGATGGAATCACATTCAGAATTCGGTAAGCATGGGGGAAAGTGTGCACAATGTGAAGAAATGTTAGGGTAGAGGAAGGACAAGGAGCATCAAGTGAGAAAGAGTAGGGTGGTAGCTGAGGCAGAACTGAATGCAGAATGAATGAGGGAGAAGTACAGGCTTCTCGTCAGCAAAGCACGTAATCACATGTTGATTTGGGTATGTGGACAGTGGAGATCTGTTCAGCAGATCTCTCTATGATGACTTTGAATTCTATGATTTTTTTTTTGTTTGTTTGAGGGGCTTTGAAGATAAACAAGTTCTTATGTCCTGTTTCAAAGGGGGTGGAGTTATTATTTCTAATGTGATAGGAAAGCTTTAACAAGTGACCCATTTTTGAGACATGCTAAGCATCCTCCTGTGAATTTCAGTTCTGACTTCTGTGGTATCCAAAATTTTTCAGCTGTTTGTCCTTCTAGCAGGAAGCAAAGCCAATTAGGCTTTGTCATTGCTCACACTTTCATTGAGTGCCTCAGTAAAGCTGTTGTGAGCATTGACACTTCAAACGTAGGTAGTTACTATTACTGCCAAGTAGTAAAATGTGCAGTTTCAGAGTCTAAGTTTTGGGGACAGGAAAATTTAATTTTAAATTATCGGTCACAGTGACCGTGGTCCATTATTGTGTTTTATGGCAAGATGAAGAACATTTTCCATTGAGAAAGAAGTTCAACATGTACTATGAATGTGTGAAGTTCACATGCAACTGGAAAGGTCCATTAAGCATTGAAATAATCAGTTCTGAGGAAGTTTATTACTTGGCCATGGTTTAAATTATATCAAAAGTTAATTCACAAGTTATGTGTCCAATGCAATTAGTTTTATTTTCACAGAGGCCTTTGCTTTGTGAAAGAGCTGGTTCTAGTAATGTCAGCGTGAAGTAAAGAGAGAATGGTATTACAATGTCTTAACATCACTATTAACTTTTACAATTTTTTTTTAGTTGTGATGGAAATGGCCACTAGTTTTTGCTTCCATCTGCATCCTAAGAGCACAGCATTATTGTGGAAGTGTCATTTCCATGCTACAAAGATGTAACAACAGCAGCTTACTCCCATATATTATTGAATTTTACTGTTAAGATTCTAAAGTAAACTGATTCCCAAGTTAATGGTGACTATAGCCTTTTAATGAAAGTTCATAGCATTAATTACAGATACCCAAACATGAATAAAATCGATATAAGTTTTGCTAACAGACTTGCTGAGCTAACTTAAGTCCTGCAAAAGACCTCAGCGCTAGAGGTTGGGAGGAAACCCTGAAGTTTTTATCACTTTGTAAACACCTCAGTTTGAAAAAGAGAATTAATCTCTTAGGACAATGAATTTAACAGATACCATAATGAACTAGGAAGGAGACTGCACACTTTTAATTTTGTATTTCCTCTGGAAGTTAGTGTTGCTCATTAAATTTTCATGGTGAAGCAAATAAGTCCCTGCAATAAAAAAAAGGATGAAGCTATTTCTATCTCAAATAATTGACTAAATTTTCACTCAAATGGCTTGAGTCATAAGATAAAACTGTGCTGACATACTCATAACATAAATCTCATTTTGTAGATGTATATACCTCAACACGTGGGACATGAGCATTTTAAATTTGAGGAGCAGGCGTGTTCCCTTCCAGTTACCTTGGACACTTTTGCAGAGTAACTTTTTTGCCTTTACTTACGCTGTTGGCTTGTTTCTTTTGTTATTTTCTCCAATGCAGTAGCCATCATATTTACAACTGTATTCCTGCTAGCATAGAGATCTTTAACTCCCATCACTACTATTTAGGTTTGTAGAGAAGTATGTGCTCTGTGGTATGGCAGAAATTATTTCAGAACACTGGCTGGCGGGAGCACTACTTGTCTTGTTTTTTTTATGGTTTGTACAGCTTAACGTGGTCTACACGAGTGCATTTCTTTGCCTTAGTTGCTCATGAGCTTTCTGATTAGTGCTTTTTTTATATCCTCTGAATGTCTGTGCCAGTCTAACTTTTTTTTTTCCTGCTCTCCAAGTATTTTGCCCTTCTCCATTTTCCAAAGGTTTCATTCTGTGGAAATGCCATTCTGCTGATTTGCAAGGGTCACCTATTGGTGTTAGTGCAGTTAGACCACATGTATGCATATATGTATGTATGTATTATCTCATTCGTGATCTCAGTATCTATCTCTGAAACTTACTTATTTTAATCACGGACATTTGTCTTCTTTGCTGGCCCTATTGCTTATAGATGCTGTCACTAGGTGAATTCTTAGGGCATTTTTGGCATAAAGTAAAGAACTACTTGACTCTTATACATTAGATTAATGAGAGGGAACCTCAACTCATCCATAAGGTGTTTCCTCCTCGACAATGTGTATGCTCTTATATTAGGGATTCCTCAATTTGTGTTGAAAAAGCACAAATTTTTTACCTTGGGGTTGTGAAAGTGTTGCTGGCCAGCTTTTGGAGTTTTTGACTAATGCCTAGAGAAAATACTAGGGTGAATATATTTCTTCGGAGTTCTCTTTTTTTGTCTTTCACCTCCTTTCAAGGGCAAACAAACTTGGCTGTCTTCCTGGCTCACAGCTGCTTTTCTGTCTAACTTCTCTTTGAAAGAGAGAAGAACAGTTTGATCCCTGAACTTGGACGTTGCTGCTGTGCTGGAGAGAGTGGACTTGGGTGTGGGAGGGGTAAAGTACTCTCTGGGCAGTGCTGGGGCTGTCTGTAACCAGTGCGGGGCTGCAGCTCTAGGACGGGCAGCTCTACCTCATCTAGCAGGTGCAGCCTGGAAAAGGGTGAGTGTGGGTGGCAATCAATACCCTGTGGCTTGCCAGTGAGGGACTAGATGTGTGCTGATGATGTGCAGGTAGAAGGGATCGGTTCTTTTAGTGGGGATGGGGTGAGGGCACTGGGTCCTTTCTGCCTTGCCATCGGAAGTGACTTTCACATTCTTGTCATAGCATAGACTCCCTGTCTGATTATGACTAAGTCTTGTTTGTGTAAATCGGTCCTGTTCTGTGCTTCACTAGAAAGTTAGTAATTTTTTTTTTCCTTTGGGGTATACCAGTTTTATTTGTGTATGGCTTCAAATGTGTAATTGTATTCAAGTGTTCTGACAGTTTGGCCACTTCTGTTTTCTTTTGATTCCTTGGGCAGTAGCAACTGATTGCAGCAGAATCCTATTCCATGTGGCACTGATTTATATATTTCAAGAACCATATTGGTGCTGAGCTACAGCATAGCAGGATAGCTGCCATCACCCTCTGACACTGCACAGGGGCAAAGTGGCTGAAGCAACAGGAGAGCAGAGGCCGTACCAGTACTGGAACCAAAGATCTGGAAGAATTTGGGGACGGGTTCAAGTTGCACCAGGGGAAGTTTAGATTGGATATTAGGATATTAGGATATTGGATATTAGGAAAAACTTCACCGAAAGGGTAGTGGAGCATTGGAAGGGGTTGCCAAGGGAAGTGGTGGAGTCACCATCCCTGGGTGTGTTTAAAAAATGGCTGGATGTGGCAGTTCAGGAGTTGGTTTAGTTTTAGGGTGGTGTAGGGCTGTAGGTTGGACTTGATGATTTTAAAGGTCCTTTCCAACCTTTATGATTCTATGATTCATTTGCCACTGCCTCTTCCTGTCCCTCACTGAGTTCCTCTTCTGTGCTACAAGTCACCACACTGACACCACTGACTGGTGTCCTCTTGATGGGAAACCTCCGCTGCAGTAGGATTTGTGCTGCTCCTTTTGGCTTCTGCCCCCTTCATTGCCTTACAACTTACAGCCATATCCTTTCTGGTGGCACTCAGATCTGGAAACAGTATGTGTAGTGGAGCCTGACTAGCCCTACTGTTCACTGCGAACTACCTTCCTCTGCTCTGTAACACTTGTGGGCAAAAAAGGGGAGCTCAGAGGGAGGAAAGCTCCTGCTGTGTGTCTCGTGTCAAGCATGCCAGCATCCTACCCACTATGTGTATTTCCCTGTTCTCAGCTTTCTCCTGTATGTTTTCATTAAGAATGACACTGCTCAGAAAAAAAATATAAAATATATTGGGATAGAACTTGTCTTTGTTGCTTCTAATAGAAGTCCTTCCCTTTCTAGTCCTTTTAGTACCTTTGGTACTAGGATGTGTCAGGTTATACAATATAAGATGTCCTATCTATGTGCAGGGATGTTGCTGAGACTACCCTCTTAGTCTGTCTTTTCTAAGAAGACAAAGGAGTCAAGAGTACTGGCTAAAAGCAGCTGAGCAGTGAAAGACAGATTGCAGCAAACTCAGGATGTGGAGATCAAATCTCCTGGAAGCAATGTTTATGGGAATTTTTTGCAGGTGGGCAGGAGAAGACTGTCTTAATACTAT